TACTAATAATGAACTATCAGAAAGAGAAATTAAGAAAATAGTCCCATTTACAATTGCATCAAAAAGAATAAAACACCTAGAAATAAATTTAACCAAGGAGGTGAAAGATGTGTATATTGAAAACTACAAGACATTAATGAAAGAAATTGAAGAAGACACAAATAAATGGAAAGATATTCCATGCTCATGGGTTGGAAGAATTAATATTGTTAAAATGTCTGTGCTACCCAAAGCAATATACAGATTCAGTGCAATCCCTATCAAAATTCCAAAGGCATTTTTTCACAGAAATACAACAAACAATCCAAAAACTTTTATGGAACCATAAAAGCTCCCAAATAGCTAAAGCAATCTTGAGAAAGAAGAATAAAGCTGGAGGTATCACATTCCCTGATTTCAAACTATATTACAAAGCTATAGTAATCAAACAGTATGTGGTATTGGAATAAAAACAGAGACATGGATCAGTGGAAAGAAGAGAGCCAAGAAGTAAACTCGCACATATGACAAAGGAGCCAAGAATATACAATGGGGAAAGAGCAGTCTCTTCAATAAATGGTGTTGGGAAAATTGAACAGCTGCATCCAAAGAAGGACTGCCTTGAAAGGTGATGAGTTCCCCCTCACTGGGAGAGTTCAAGCACTGGACAACGATTTGGCATCCTCTGTATCTGCTATATAGGATATTTCAGCATCAGATTGGACCAGATAATTGTTCAAGTTCCTTGCAATTCCAAGAATCAGATTCTCTTAAAGGATAACTCAAAAATTCAAAAGTACACCTATAGGCTTAAAAACTACCAAAGTTGCTTTCCAAAGTTCTTTCATGCAAAATGGAATCAAGGTGAGTAGAAACTCTAGTACTGTATACACTGAATACTTTAAAAGTTTGAAGGAATAGAACTCTTAAGATGTATCTAAGCTATCTGAAACGTACATCAAAATAAGAGGAGTATGGGACAAAGAACAATGCAATAGCATCCTTTGCTGATTTTCACAAGCCCCAGATAGGTAATCATGAGGGGCAATTTCTTTAAATTACACTCAAATTGTATGCTTTCTAAGGTCTTGAAGTATTTTAGCTTTTTGATTATTGGGATCCATAAATGTATAATAATCTTTTTCAAATCTTTATAATTAAATTGACTCTTGGTAGGAGAACAAAAGCAAGCATAAAAAGAGAATCTGTTTTCCATAGCTTTTCCTATATAGAATAAAATGGTACTTAATAAGAAGTAAGCAAGCAGTGATTGGGTAACATAAATCAGAGCTAGCACATTGAGTTCTTTTACTGAGTAGCTTGTTTCCTGATATTAATTTCGGCAACAGGGTGTTCTCAGACATCTCCCTTCCACTTAGGAGAGCTGCATTCTTATGCCAATGCTGCTCACTCTCATAGCGGCTGGACAGCTCAACTTACTAGAGCATATTCATTCAGTATGCATTTATCGGGCACACACTATATGTGCAGTGAGGCTAGGCACTCTGGGCAGAGTAAGATTTAGTCCTAGTCCTCCAGCTAGGGTCATGGGTCAGTTCAAGGGTCATGGTAGCACTGTAGGAAAGTTAAACAAGAAGTTAATAATATCTGATTTTTTTTTTTTTTTTGCGGTACGCGGGCCTCTCACTGCTGTGGCCTCTCCCGTTGCAGAGCACAGGCTCCGGACGCGCAGGCTCAGCGGCCATGGCTCACGGGCCCAGCCGCTCCGCGGCATGTGGGATCCTCCCAGACCGGGGTACGAACCCGTATCCCCTGCATCGGCAGGCAGACGCTCAACCACTGCGCCACCAGGGAAGCCCTTTCGTCATCTTTTATCCTCAGTGCCTAGCACAGGCCCAGTACTTAGTAGATGTTCAGTAAATATTTGAACAAATCAGTGTGTTAGTGAATTCAGGAATGAGATCAGAGAATGATCAATAAATCTCTATTGGATCAGAAAGTGAATGAGTTCAGCTGCGGGGATAAGTCATGCCTTCATGAAGTGGGTAATGACACTTGTAACCGTCTCTTACATTTCATATATTACTCGGAAAAAAAGCACATCAAATTTTAAGTTTCTTCATAGTTACAACTTTCTCATACAACTTTTCAATTTTCTCAGAATTTCTATTTGTCTTTCTCGATTAGAAGAGACATATAATTTCAACTCATCAAGAGCACGCAGTCATACTTCTGGATTATGAATCACACACTTTGTGTGATTCTTCTTAGTTCTTCAAGCACTCTTCTGACTTTCAGGTATAGTTTGAACGGATCGCTTTCCAGTTACACAGCCATTATACTGAGGTTTCTTTTCTTTATGGTTCCTCTATTTGTTATGGTCAGTATCTTCCTCTTTCTGGATTTTTCACTTTTGCTCTCATCATTTTTTTTTTCCAAAAGAGTGTAAATTCAACTCTTAGAGCTGTCCAAATATATCTTTAGTTTGCTCTCATACATGAGGTGTTTTGACTGGTTATAGGATTTCAGATTTAAAATCATTTCCTCTAGAATTCTGAAGACGTTATTCTAGCATCGTTTCTAGCAACCCGTGTTATAGACAAAAAGCTGTATACTTATTCATTCCTTTCTTCCTTACTCTTTGAATAAAGAAATTTCACCAGAATAGAATGTATATACATACAGGATAGACGCACATATAATGTGTATGTATGTGTGTGTGAGAGAGAAATAATTATCTCAGGTGAGTCTTTCAATCTAAAGACTTGAGTCTTAAATTCTGTATGGCATCACTTACATGTAGAATCTAAAATAATACAACAAACTAGTGAATATAGCAAAAAGGAAACAGACTCACAGATACAGAGAACTAACTAGTGGTTACCAGTGGGGAGGGGGGTGCAATATAGGGGTGGAGGAGTGGAAGGCACAAACTATTCGGTGTAAAATGGGCTCAAGGATGTATTGCACAACAGAGGGAATATAGCCAATATTTTGTAACAACAAAATGTAAATGGAAGGTAACCTTTCAAAATTGTGTAAATTTTTTTTTTTTTTTTTTTTTTTTTGCGGCTCCGGACGCGCAGGCTCAGCGTCCATGGCTCACGGGCCCAGCCGCTCCGCGGCATGTGGGATCTTCCCGGACCGGGGCACGAACCCGTGTCCCCTGCATCAGCAGGCGGACTCTCAACCACTGCGCCACCAGGGAAGCCCATCAAAATTGTGTAAATTTTTAATTAATTAAGGTAAATAAATAAAGACTTGAGTCTTTAACTCAAGGACATTTTCTCTCTCTCTCTTTCCTTCATCTTCTATTCTCTATTTTTCCCCCTCTGGAAGTTCCACTTGACAAATATTAAATCTCCTGAGTCTATCCTCTCGGGCTTAATTTTCCTGCTGTATTTTCCATCTCCCAGTGGACACAGTGACCTGGAGTGTTTTGCCGAAGGCCTCTTTCCCACACCTGCACTCAGGGTTGCCCACTCAGGCCTCTCACCCAGTAGGAGGCGGGCTGGGGAAACGGACCTACACCACCTCTGCAGGAAACAACGCAGTTTGGGAAACATAGTTTTGTTCCAACCAACAAAAATCTCAAAACCACTTAAAACTTCAATGCACTTTGCCTGAGTATTCCTACTTTGAATATAAGCTTTGGTTGTACACTTCTTAATTTAGCAAATTCTAAGCTTTGCCCTGCATATCTGCTTTACATTCTAATATTATTCTCTACCCATATACTGATGCCAGATACACACTGAGTTATTATTGATAATAAGCTGTTCGATACTTCCTCTATTGGATTCATTCCTTTGCTGGCCTGTGTGGGTGCAAGATAAGATTTTACTTTTGAAAATATTTTCAAATACTTGCAATTACACTTAAACGCCAGAATAAATAGTTGCAGAGTGCTTTTGTTTTCTTTTTTTTTAAAAGTATATCAAGAGATGCAACAGCATCCAAGTTTAGGCCTTTCAGAGAGCAAAACCAGCAGAAGAGAGTCCAGCTGGCTGGACTCAACTACAAGCATTAGTTCTTCGGTGAGGGTCTCAAGGTTTTTCTATCCCTCTCCATGCCGTGGGGAAGGGGGAGAGGATTAAATTTGTATACAGATGCAAAATACAATGGTGACCTATGATCATGATTCATATAGCTAATTTCATGTACTTTGGCCAATTGTATCATGTTCCCAACAGGTCCAAGAAATTTCCCCTTCTGTAACCTGAGGTGCGGGGACGCCAGGGTCGGGGCCTCCAAAGGTAACCACAGGGGTCATTCAGGGTTGGCTTGCTCCATCAGGACGCCGCCCCTTCTTCTCGCCTAAGTAGGAGAGGACGCCCACCAACGAGCACCTCCCCTGAGGCCCAGCTGCCCCGCACGCTCAGGAGCCAGACCATCTTCTTCAGGTGTCCTTGGAATGCATTCCTGGGGCTGGGACTCTGGCCTATTCCCCCCGGCTCGCCTTCCCTTAGTGGGAAACCCAGGCTCCACGCCCTGAATACCCATTGGTAGTCAAGACTGGCGACTCTCCCGCTGGTGTGCGGGTGGCGGGCGAGGCCACTTCGCTCCTTAAATAGCCCCTTCTCTGAGGGATGGGGAATATGAATATGCAACACGAGCTCCTCCAGACGCCACTGGACAGGCGGTCTGTTTAATATTCATGACGCCTCGTGGGCCTTCAGGACGCTAACAAAAGAATCAAGAGATGTTAGGGGGGCGGGCTCCACGAGGCAAAGCCTCCACTGATTGGTTGTTCTTGGAGGTTGCCTTCGATTGTGGGGTGTGAAAGGTGGAGCTGCAAGTTTGGCATAGGGCGGGAGATTTGAATACTCATTTTCTGTGTTCCAGGCTGTGCGGAAGTGCTTTTTTTTTTTTTTACCAGCACTACAACCATAAAGAACATATTCCGAGCACTGTACTCTCAGTTTGAGAGCTCCAATCCACTCATTTTCTAGATGGAGAAATTACTCCTGACTCCTAGCCTGGGTTCGGCCACCGCCCCCGGCCGGAAGCTGAGGGGCGGGCCCAGGATGCGAGACCCGGCCCCTCCTCCTATCTCCTCCTATTAATTCCTCGCGGCCGGGGCAACCCCAGGAATGTCTCGTGGCTAACTCCGTGCAGCGCCGGGCTTGTGGCTTAGTGGTCCCGGGACGGCCTGCGGCTGCGAGGACCTGAAGCCATCGTCCAGCCCAACATCGCTGTACACCTGGGGAGTCCGAGACCCAGTGAGAGCAGTGCGGCCCGAGGTGGCCCAGCCCGCAGCAGGACCAAGGCCAGTCGCAGGTCTCCTGACTCCCAGCTTGGTGTCCCGCGTCTTCGTGGTAGGTTGAGATGGCCGAGCATCGGGCCTGAGCGCTCCCAGGCCACATCCCCTTGTCCCCGGCGCTGGGGGAAAACACAACTCGCGCCTGCGCAGAGCCTTCTGGGGAAACAGCAGCTTCGCGGAAGACCCCGCCCCTTTTGCCCTGGTGACGCGTCTCCGGTTGCCATGGAGACCGCGCTGTTTACAGCCCAGTTCTGCAAGAACCTGGAGCTCCGGTTGGGGTAAGGAGGCTTTTATCCCGGAGTTGTGTAGTAGTTTTTTGTGGCGCTGAGGGTAAGCCCCGGCCCCACACCACCAACCCTTAACTGCAGCGCACAGACCTACCCAATGCCTTGTGCCCAGTGGTATCAGCCCAAATTTAGGTTTAATTTCGACCTCAGCCCTAATTTAGATTTCTCTGAGAGCTACTCAGACTTAACCAGAAATCTTGGGTTAAGTTTTGAGCCCCACACTCACACTTGGCCGAAGCCATAGGAGGGACTGGACTAGGAGACCCCATGTTGTCAGAGGGAGCCGGGTGGCCTGGGGCTCAGCCTGGTCAAGATCTGACTCCAGGTCGCTCCTTGTATGTTTGAAGGACTTCAGAGATCCAGAAGCCTTTAAGAGCAGGCGGTCAGCTATATATTTTGGGTGAGATGTTGGTGGGGGCAGTTTTCAGCCCTGTCTGAGGACGGCAGTTCTCACAGTCAGAGCTGTGTGCAGATGAGGTGGGGAAATGTTGGTCTTTCTGCTGCTGCTGGTCTCTGCCTGCTGCCTCCTCATGTGTTCCTCTTCTTGTTCTCTCCTTTTCTTTGTCCTGGGAAGGTTTTGTTTCTTTCATCTGCTGAACAGGCTCAATACCCAGCTGTCAATTTACAGATGTCACAGTTGTTCTTTTTTTTTTTTTTAAGAAAACATGTCTGGGTTCATCTGTTTGGCAATACCTACTAAAACTGAACACTGCCTTATGACCCAGCAATTCTAATGCATTATAAAAATGCGAGCATATGTTCACCAAAAAACACATTGTCTCTAAATGAGAATATTCATAGCATTCTCATAATAGCACCAAACTGGAAACCCAAATATCCATAAACAGTAGAAAAGAGAGACAAATTTTGGTATAATCACACAATGGTATACTACACAGGAATGAGAATGAACAAACTACAAGTATATGAACAATACTGATAAGTCTTACAAGCATAAGGCTGAGCAAAAAGAAGTCAGATATGAAAGAGTACATAGTGATTCCATTTATATTAAGTTCAAAAATACCAAAACTAATTTATAGTGTTAAAAGTTGGAATAGTGGTTACTGTTGGGGGGAGGGGGTGAAGAATAGTGATCAGAAAGAGACGTGAGGTGCTGGTAATGCTTATTTCTTGATCTGGGTGCTCTCTGTACAGAGGTTTTCATTTTGTGTACAGATTATGATTTATATACCTTTTGGTATGAATGTCACACTTTAATAAAAACTGACATTAAAAAAAGGACAACTTGCTTTCAATGAATCTAAAAAAAAAAAAATTCTGCTTTTGATCAGGACTTTAGAAACCTCAAATGGCCAAACTACTGCAACATCCACCCAAGTTCTTGCCCTCAGAGTGGCACATTGCTAATAAGAACCAGTACCACAGAGCAGAGGCCCAAAGGTCCCGGTCCGAACGCCTGGTGGCAGAAAGCCAGAGGCTTGTGAATGAAATTGAAAAGACCACAAGAAAATCTCAAAGCGATGTGAACAAGAAACTAGGTAAGATAACATATTTGGTATATTTGGGAACATGTTTGGATGATACTGTTGAGGTATGGCGATACTGTCATTTGCATTTCATGTTCAGGAATGGCAACGTATTATCTTGAAATATTAGGGAGAAACGTGTATTCTCCGGGCTCTGTCTTTAAGTTCACTGCCCTAAGGTAGAGACATGGTAACCCAGTCTGATTTTCAGCCATTCATCAGCCATTCTTTGACTGATTCGATACATATCTGTTGAGCGTCTAAGAGCATCTATGGACTAAGCCCTGGGAATATCACAGAGGATGATCAGAGCCTCCGTTTTTGAGGGGCTCCTGGATTGAGGAGGAGAAAGATAGAAAAGTGAATAATCAAAATATAACTAGATAGGAGCTGGGGGAAAGGATACAGAAGTGAGGGCAGAGTCTGCCCTGGAGAATTAGGGAAGACCTCCTAGAGAGGAACACTTGAGCTGAGTCTTTTTTTTTTTTTTTTTAATTTATTTATTATTTTTGGCTGTGTTGGGTCTTTGTTTCTGTGCAAGGGCTTTCTCTAGTTGCGGCGAGTGGGGGCCACTCTTCATCACGGCGCGCGGGCCTCTCACTGTCGCGGCCTCTCTTGTTGCGGAGCACAGGCTCCAGACGCGCAGGCTCAGTAGTTGTGGCTCACGGGCCTAGTTGCTCCGCGGCATGTGGGATCTTCCCAGACCAGGGCTCGAACCCATGTCCCCTGCATTGGCAGGCAGATTCTCAACCACTGCGCCACTAGGGAAGCCCTGAACTGAATCTTAAAGAAAGAGTAATGCTCTCTTGACAATCCCATTCCTACGAACACAATGTAAAAGGTGGTGCCCTTAAATAAGCAAAACAAGAATAAAAATAAGATGAAACAAACAAAAGTCCCAAATGCCAAAAAGTGATAAACCAGAGGTCACAAACTCAACAGTCTATCAGAGTTGGGCAGGTAACATAAGGGTTTGAATAAGACCCCTAAGACAATAGGGAGTGGTGGGGACTGAGGGTCCCTGGAGAACATGTGCTCCATCAATTTTAACCCATTTTTTCCCAAGAAAGAATATGGGCCCAGTGTTGCCGAGTTCCCTGATTTTTTTTTTTTTTTTTTAGAAAATCTGGAAAGCTGGAATTTTACCCACTTTTTAAATGCTAGCCATTGATTTGATATATTTATAACACTGGGCAGGATGAACAAACACATCTATAAACAAAACCTGGTCTAAGGGCTGCTAGTTTTCAACCTCCAATAAACCAAAACTTCATTCAGGCCTGCAGGGTTAAATGTTAGGCTTCTCCTGATGGGTTGATGCTTACTCCTGATACCAGCCTATAGGTAGGCCTGATCACACTAGACAATAAAGCATTCTGGTTGACAAGCCGTGTCCCTGCAGACAGAACTCCCAGTTAGTATTTTAGCATTTTATTCTCAAATATGACCAGATGAAGATCACCAAACATGTGAGGGAAGGTTCTAAAATGGCAAACACTGAAACAAACAAAACTAAAGAAAGTACACAGAGCAAAAGAAAAAATAACACTATAAGATCCTCAGGGAATTTAGAAAAGACATTGCATCTATGGAACAAGAAGACTCTTAAAAAAGAGAACATTCAGAGAACAAGAAAGTGTTCTTGGAAATTAAAAATATGAGAGCAGAATATTCTTTTAAGTCAAAAGAAGGGTTGAAAGATAGAGTTGAAGTATCTCCAGAAAGTAAAAAAAAAGACAAAGAGCTAGATAGAAAACAAGAGAGAAAAGACAAAATTAGAGGATCCATCTGGGAGGCTCAATACCTATAGGCGTTCCAAACCCTCCTACACTGTTGGCAGGAATGTAAATTGGTACAGCCACTATGGAGAACAATATGGAAGTTCCTCAAAAAACTAAAAATAGAACTACCATATGATCCAGCAATCCCACTCTTGGGGACATATCTGGAGAAAACCATAATCTGAAAGGATATATGCATCCCAATGTTCATTGCAGCACTATTTACAATAGCCAGGACATGGAAGCAACCTAAATGTCCATTGACAGATGAATGGATAAAGAAGATGTGGTACATATATACAATTGAATATTACTCAGCCACAAAATAGAGCGAAATAATGCCATTTGCAGCAACATGGGTGCCTAGAGATTGTCATATTGAGTGAAGTAAGTCAGACACAGAAAGACAAATTATCATATGATGTCACTTATATGTGGAATCTAACAAATGAACTTAGTTACAAAACAGAAGTAGAGTCACAGATGTAGAAAACAAACTTATGGTTACCAGAGGATAAGCGGGGGGAGGGATAAATTGGGAGATTGGAACTGACATATACACACTACTTTATATAAAATAGATAACTAATAAGAACCTGCTGTGTAGCACAGGGAACTCTACTCAGTACTCTGTAATGGCCTATATGGGAAAAGAATCTAAAAAAGGAGTGGATATATGTATATGTATAACTGATTCACTTTGCTGGACACCTGAAACTAACACAACATTGTAAATCAGCTCTACTCCAAAAAAAAATTTTTTAAAAGTTGTATAAGAAAGTAAATTTATCATAGTATCATGGTATGATGGTTTGGGTGTAAATAATATTTACATACCTACAATAATATAAACAAACATTAAATTATTATTTAACAACATGGTGACACAGCTATATTGGGAAGATTGAAAGGTCAGAAGTGTGTTGTATAAGTCGTGTAAGAGCAAACTCTTATCTTTCATCATAGGAAATCAATAGGTAATCTTAAAACTGATAATGAATAAATAGCCAGGTAAGCAAATGCCAGAAGAAATACTAAAAGTGTTTAAAAAGAGGTTGCTTCCAGAAAGTGGGGGTGGGTAGGGATGGGTCAGAGAATTGTAATACTTGTCAAACTGTTTGACTTTTCAAACAATATATATTTGTGTCTTTGACAAAATTAAAAGTTATTAAAAACAGTGGGCTTTGAAGAATTAGAGTCAATGGGTGTAGAATGGTCTTTGGATTAATTTGATGTTGAATGTAAGAAGAAATATATTCTTATTTCCCTCCCTCCCTCCCTCCCTCCTTCCCTCCCTCTTTCCTTCCTTCCTTCCTTCCTTCCTTCCTTCCCTCCCTCCCTCCCTCCCTCCTCCCTCCTCCCTCCCTCCTTCCCTCCCTCCCTCCTTCCTTCCTTCCTTCCTTCCTTCCTTCCTTCCTAACTCAGAGATGTAAAGATGCCCCAAGTAGCACAGCTCTAAGAAGAAAAGAAAGTATCTCGGGTAGGTTTACAATAGTCTTCAAGTTTCTAATCTAAGAGTTGGCTACATTGGAAATAGATTAATCCTGGTGTGACTTCTCTGTGTGCTCCAGAGCAGAGGCTTGAGGAAGTCAGGTTCTGGAAGAAGGAGTTAGATGATAAACTTGAGCAGCTGGTGCACGCGACCGAAAATCTACTCATCTATCAGACCAGATTGGAGAAAGCCCTGGAGAGCTTTAAAGAACCCTTGCACATCACTGAGAAGTGTCTGGAATACAGGTAGGAGGGAAGGTTCCTCTAATGAATCATCTGTTGTAAGCAATGAATTGCGAAGAGGTAAAAGCTGACTGTGCTAGGTGATGGGTTAGAATGAGACAAATGAGCAAGTGTTCTTTTAGAGCCTGAAATTATCTCGCATGCCCAGGGTGATGGGCAGTGGGAGGAGCACTGGACTTGGCTCATGTCTAAACTCTGCTCTTGACTAACTTAAATATAAGTTAGGACTAGGTTTGGCAGTGGGTAATCAGAAAAGGGCAAAATAACATTGAACTTAGATAATTTCTTTCTCTCTCACATTTAAGGAGTCTGGAGATAGTTCAGGGTTGGCATGGTGTGCCACAGTGTCAGGCTTCCAGGCCTTTTCTGTCATGTTGCTCCACTATCTTGTTGCTCCATGTGTGTGGCTTTTACTCCCAAGGTTACCTCGTGACTCACGATGGCAGCTGGAGCTCCAGCCATTACATCTACATGCCAACAAGTAGTAATAATAAGGGTTTGGCATTCACCATTTCTACTTGTATCCCGTTGACCAGAGCTTAGTCACATGGCCACACCAATAGAAACTGGGAAATGGTGGTCTTTATTTTGGGCAGGCAGAGCAGGTACAGTTACTAGAGGGCAAGTCTGCTCCTATACACAGAGCCACATGGAAGCACTTTGTAATCCAGAGAGCGCTGTGCAAACATACCTTTTTACTATAATTTCCCTCCTGTAAGTCCTATGAGTAGGACGATCCTTTCTGCTCTGGGGTGATGCTGATTTGCAGACCTGATGCCTGTCACAGCCCTAGGTGGGGCACCCTTCTGCCAGCACAGCCCCCTCCAATCGAGTGCATCCTCCACACTAGCTATTGAACGAAGCCTCCCAAATGCAGATCTTTCCAGGTCACTCCATGCTTAAAATCCTTTCATTACAATGCTTTGCCCTAGTACCTTCAAAATAAAATTCAAACTTCTTAGCTTCAAAAACAAGGTCCATCATGGTTGGGGCCCCAGTGATCCCTCCAGGGCCATATCTCATCCCCAACAGTGGGATGTACTTAGGGGTGCTGAGCTGCTTGCAGCTTCCCAAATGCACTGTGACTCTGTCCATACTCTTCCTCCTTCCCAGAAAACCCTGTTACCTCAGTGAGCTTAGCCAGGACCCCCTCTGCAGCAACCAGGCAGCAACCTCCCAGCCAGATTTAGAGAGTTTGTGAGGCACAGGGAAGTAGCAGGTGACCAAAGAGGCCAACATCCAGTTGGCTCAAGTCTACACCTAAGGGTAACTAGGATGTAGAGGACATATATGGATTGAGTACATGCTCCTCTGTGGAAGGTACAGTGCCATCTGCTTTCTTATCTCCTTTGTCCCTTGCCACAACCCTAGGAAGTACTAATAGTTATGCCCATTTCACAGATGAGGAAACCAAGGCACAGATAAGTTATACAGTGTGCCTGAGGGTCACACAGCTGGTGAGTGGAGACTTCCTCCCTAGTACTATCATGCAGGTGGAAAAGAATAAACTACCAGACAGTGACTGATCAATTTTGGGAGTAAGTGGTTAAAAACATGAGTGATGCCCAGTTAGTTCTGTGACAGGGGGTGAGTTACGTAATCTCTCTGAAACTCAGTTTCCTCACCTGTACTTGAGAGGTTACGTGAGAAGGAATATCCGCATGAAAAGCTCAGCACAATGCTTGTCTCATAGTAAGTGCTCAGTGGCGGGGGTACTACTAATTTTGGCATCATTATGACTATTACTATTGTTACTATAGAGCATCTTTTTGGATTCAATCCTTGTCAGAGGATCAAGGAAGGAAACACATGTCTTTAAAATTCTAAGTCAGAAGACAGTGTTTCCAATAAACAGGTAAAAAGTAAAAGGCTTCAGAACCGATGGCCAAATTGAGGCCCAAAGTCCAGCTGGGATATTTCAGAGCAAGTAACCAGTCACCGATTAATTTTTCCTCATTATGTTTTGGATATTTTGAAGTCGCATAGACACCAACTAATGTACATCCCCCATCACATCATCCGGATGGATTTGGTCCAGTTGTCCAGACAGTTTTAAAAGTCAGCAGCTTTTGAGTTGCCTTCCTCCGCGCGTGGGATGACCATCCACCTCTCTCTCGGTCAGGGAGAAGCGAGTTGGCATTGACTTGGTCCACGATGAGGTAGAGCAGGAGCTGATCAAGGAGGCGGAGATCATCCGGGGGGTGATGGCCCTGCTGACCCGCACCCTGGAGGAGACGTCCGAGCAGATCAGGTATGGCCATGCGGGACCTGCCCTCACATCTCCACTGGGCGTTATCTAGAAAAGGTGGTGCCCACCAAGGCCATGCTCCATGGCCCAGAAAGAATGGGATTTAATACCCTACAAGCACTTTCCATGCCCCAAGGTGGCCCGGGAACACTCAGAATGAGACCAAGACAACCTCTCATGCGTGACAGTCACCCTCTGGTGGAGGGTTGGGGTGCGGCCAGATTTCACCCCTGATAGTAAACTGGAGGACACTGGAGCTGACCCCTCACAAAGATGCCACAGTGGTGACATCAGAAAATGTCACATTTGGAGGGAAGATCTTGAAGTCCTGGCTTGGATATGTTAATTTGTCACCAAGTGTCTAATGGTGTGTGTGTGTGTGTGTGTGTGTGTGTGTGTGTGTTGAGCAGATGGGAAGGTGGGAGGAAGTGTCGCCATATTGCACTAGACTGGCTTCATTTTCCATGGTGTCCCAAGAACCTGGTATAGGTGCCACCTAGGCATTCCAGAGGGAGAAACCCAGTTTACCTTCTCCCTTCAGGCTGAACCGCTCTGCCAAGTACAGTCTTGAAAAGGACTTGAGGGACAAGTTTACAGCCCTGACCATTGATGATATCTGCTTCTCACTCAACAACAACTCGCCAAACATCAAATATTCTGAGAACATCGTGAGGGTTGAAGCAAAGTGAGTGGGTCCCTGCTGGCCTGGCCCTGCTGTCCTCCTCCCTGCTGTGTGTCATCATAGTGCTTCTCAGAGAGGCAGGCAGGACCTAGCACATCATCCTGAATGCAGGCTGAGAGCTGGGAAGAGGCAGGCTTGGGGCAAAGGCGGGCGCTGAGCAGTGAGTACCCTGACACAGGACCCACAGGCGCCTCGGTCCTCTGGGTTGCCCCCACTTTAAGAAAGTCTGATATAAAGAAAACTTTGGGGTTTGGGGGTGGGTGCAGCATGCGGGATCTTAGTTCCCCGACCAGAGTTTGAGCCCACGCCCCCTGCAGTGGAAGCACAGAGTCTTAACCACTGGACCGCCAGGGAAGTCCCTGATATAAAATCTTTAAACCTTTCAAATTTATTCATTTACCTATTTGCATTTTTAACAAGTAAAAGGATTTAAAAATGTAGAAAGGGCAAGTTAATAATTTCCCCATATCTACTCCTTTCTATCATTACACCCCCTGAGATAACCAGTGTTATCTGTATGTTCTTACAAACATATGTATACACTCACCTACACAAATAAATTTTGTTTCTTTACAAAAATGGGATTGTACCATGTACCTTTTCTGTAACATCTAACTTACATTTTTCAAGTAACATTACATCACAGACCTAACTCATTCTAATTTTTAAAACGTTCTTTTTGAAGTAAAACATACATATAGAAAACTGCACAAGAGTTCCCTGGCGGTCCAGTGGTTAGGACTTGGCACTTTCACTGCCGGGGCCCGGGTTCAATCCCTGGTCGGGGAACTAAGATCCCACAAGCCATGCGGTGTAGCCAAAAAAAAAGAAAGAAAAGAAAAATGCACATATAATAGTAAACAGTTTAATGAATTATCATGGTTTTAGTTCTCTTTTGCTGTATAACAAGTTACCCCAAAAACTTAGCAGCTTAAAAACAATAAACGTGTGTTACCTCCCAGCTTCTGTGGGTCAGGAGCACAGGCATGGCTCAGCTGGGCGCCTCTGGCTCACATCTTATGAGGTTGTAGTCAAGGGGTCTGCTGGGGCTGCAGTCTCATCCAAAGGCACAACCGTGAGGGAGACCCACTTCTGACCTGGCTCGTGTGGTTATGACAGGCCTTGCCACCCGAGCTGCTCCACGGAGCTGTCCCAGGACGTGGCAGCTGGCTTCTCCCACAGCGAGTGATCCAAAAGGAAGCAAGAGAGAGAGGGCAGCCGAGACAGAAGCCACAATTTTCTTTCAACCTAATCCTAGAAATAACCTCTCATTATGTCTATTCAGGAGAGATGAGTCAATGAGTTCATCACACATCTCAAGGGGAGGGGACTATACAAAGGTGTGAACACCAGGAGACACAGGGGGTCACTGGGGACCATCTCAGAGGCTGCCTCTAGTCACACAGCAAACAGTCTCCATGTAACCACCAACCAGGCCAAGAAATAAAACATTACCACCAATACCAAAACCTCCACCCTGTCCCCTCTTAATGAATACCTCCTCTCTGCTCCCCAAAGAGAACCACATTCCTGATTTCTAATAGGTTTCTTGTGCCTACTTTTGCATTTATTAAATAGCATCATGTACTATGTATCTCGTGTGTCCCTTTCCTTCCAGTCAACATTATTTTGAGATTCCTCAAGTGTTATATAAAGCAGTTCCTTGTCAAACTAGCAATTTATTCATTTCTTTATAGCATTCCAGTATGGACTCATGTTCTCCTGTTTTATTCAGTGTGTTATAATCTGTTACTATTATAATTTACTTTGATACTTAACTTGTCTCTACCTATGTGACCTTGACGAAGGTACTCCAACTTTCTGAGCCTCAGTTTTCCTCATCTGTCAAATGGGGGTATGAAAGTTAGCTCACTAGGCCATCGTGAGGATTAAATGAGAGGATGTCTGTAAAGTACCAGCCCAGAGCCTGGCACAGAGTAAGTAGGTTTCCCCAAAGTGACAGTTATTGCCACTGACAGACCACCGTTCGCTCTGCCTAGAGATGGGGAAACGTTCTAGGTGCTTCTGATGGTGGAGGGAGGCTTAACTTCCTGTGGGTTTCCAGTAGCTTGTCCTACCGCCATACCCACACACCCAGCCCAAACATGCTATGAATGAATGCATGGGTCCTGTTTCAGCTCTGTGAGTCTGGAAGACTGGTTGGACTTCTCCAACACCAACGTGGAGAAGGCCGACAAGCAGAGGAACAGCTCTCTGACGCTGAAGGCCCTCGTGGACCGAACCTTGTCCCAGACGGCCAACGACCTAAGCAGGCAATGTGACGTGGTGGACACCGCATTCAAGAATGGGCTGAAGGAGACCAAGGACGCCAGGGACAAGCTGGCTGCTCATCTGGCCAAGGTGAGCTCCCTGGGGGGGCCATGGAAGAGCACCTTCAGAAGGTTTTACCCTGTAAACCTAGAATGGCCTTCAGGGCTTGTGATCCTGTGTACTAAGGAGTAGAGGTCACTCCGCTCTCTCCATCTTAGCAGCAGGCTTTGGGCTTTGGGGGACTGGAGCGGGCCTTGGCCCCGCTCTGGGCCTCTCGTACTCATTGCTGCAAAGAACAGGCTGTCTCCCCTCTCTGGGCCTTAGTTCGTCCTTCTGTGGAGCATAGAGATGCACCGTATGCTCTTATACGTTCTTTTTAAAAAAAAAAAAAAAAGATTTATTTTTATTTATTTATTTTGGCTGCGCCAGGTCTTAGTTGCGTCAGACGGGATCTTTGTTGCGGTGTGCAGGATCTTTCAGTCGCAGCATGCGGACTTAGTTGCAGCACGCGGATTCTTGGTTGCAGCAGGCATGCGGGATCTAGTTCCCCGACCAGGGATCGAACCCGGGCCCCCTGCATTGGGAGTGCAGATTCTTACCCCCTGGACCACCAGGGAAGTCCCTTATACGTCCTTTATGACTCTGAAGTTCCGTGAGTTGAGTGCAACCGATTTCTCCAAACCCAGATGCAACTTTGGGATTCTGGCTTGTTGTCTGGTTATCCAGCCGTTTGCTGGTAACCGGCTCCCAGAGGAGAAAAAAGCCCCTGATGTATAGAATTTGCAGATTTCTGTGGTGTAAATCCTTCCACCATGGTCAGTTTCAAGTTACCCATTTAACACAGGTCTGGCAGAATTCCTGAATGCTTAACAATTGGAGCCCAGTAAGCCGGCTGTAGCCCATGTCCCTCACCAGCAAGGACCGCTGGATCCTGAGCATATGGGACCGTCCGCAGGCTAAGCTCAGGGACACTGGGTAGAGTTCACTGGAACAAGGGCTGAATTTGGACTGAGGATCTGAGGGCCCACGTTCCAGTCCTGCGACAGACCAGCTGAGTGACTTAAGCAGACGCCTCGAGCTCTCTGAGCCTTCCGCCTCACCTGTAACACTGGGACAGCTACAGCTACCCGATGTGGCCACTGCTGGCCCACTCCTTGCTTTTCACTGATGGTGAAGCAGCCATGGAGAGCGGAAGGGACCCCAGGTCGCAGGTGCATCACTGCTCTAGCCCCAGGCCTGCTCAACTACCACAACCTTGTCCTTCTGCTGGATTCCTCCCTTGCCTTCCATGAGCCCAGAGTCTAATTGTAAGAAAAGATTTATCTCTGTGATGAGCAGGGCAAACCAGAACGTCATCAAAAATTATACTGCAATAGTCCGCAAAACGACAGGTAGAAGAGCCTTGTGGGTAAGCGTGTAGAGCCTGGAGCCAGACAGCCTGGGTTCGAAATGGGGCTTCAACACTTGCTGTGTGATCTTGGGGAGGCTACTTAATGTTTTGTGTTCTTTTATGAGATGGTCAGTCAAGTGTAGCCATAAGGAGACAGGGGGCTCAGGAAAAAACAAAGTTTATATCGTATTCACAGGTCCTAGAGACAGGAGGCAGGGCTCCCCACGCAGGGCCACATGGAGAACACACTAGGGTGGTCAGGCGGCAGATGACAGGAGCAAGGGGAAGGTGGAGGCCACGGCCTTTATTGGGGTTTCCTCAGGACCCCCAAGGCAGGGCAAGGGTAGCACTTCAGGATCAGCTAGTGTGAATAACCTCAGTGGGCTCTGGGCTATGGAATGGTCCCCAGGTGCCTGGCACCCGGCCCTGGGATGACTGAGGCAGAGCAAGATGGCCTCCTGGGCTGAAAGGGCAGAGAGAGGAGGGAGGGCTCTGGGCTTGCAGATGCAAGGCCTGCTCAGGCTGGTCCTTCGCCGTCTCTAAGTATCGAAGAGCCCAGGGAGGGGCAGTTTCTCCCAGCCAGAAAGGTTTTTTATGATGTCAGAACATCATAATGTATAGAAAATTTAAAACATTTATAATACACTTAAGCTGCCTGTTCCTGGGACTTCCCTGGTGGTCCAGTGGTTAAGACTCCGCACTTCCACTGCAGGGGGCACAGGTTCCATCCCTGGTCGGGGAACTAAGATCCTGCATGCACATGCCACGCTGCGCGGCCAAAACAAGAAAAAAGCTCCCTGTTCCTTGATTTCCTCATTGATAAAATAGGGACAGCAACAGTACTCACCTCCCAGAGTTGGTTAGGGTAAAATTAGACAACCCAAATAAAATATTTAGAACAATGCCTGGCACATACCGATTTTATACACACACACATATATATACGTACATTTACATAGCTTATACATATAATCAATATAATAGATAATCAATAAGAATTGGCCGCTGTAGCAGCTAATAATAGGAACAACAACAACGATAGTAATAATGGTAAACGTAGCCAAAGACTAGTCAAGAGGCTCCCTGGTGGAGTAAGAACTTAGTCCAGGCCTTGAAAGATGGATCTGAGCTAGGAAGGCAGCGGGGAGGAGGGTCCCCACCGTAAGAGAAGAGGCAAGAAGCTGGGCTTGGCAGAGGCCTGTGAGAAGCCCCATCCTGCCGGAGGAGATCCTGCAGGAGCTGGGAGCTGTGTGGCTGAGGCCTTGGCAGCAACATCTAAAACGAGCATCCAGGGACTTCCCCGGTGGTCCAGTGGGTGCGACTCCGCACTCCCGATGAGGAGGCCCGGGTTCGATCCCTGCTCGGGGAACTAGATCCCACACGCGTGCCGCAACTAAGATCCCGCAACTATGAGCCCACATGCCGCAACAAAGATCCCACGTGCCACAGCCAAAAATAAATAAACAAATAAATAAATGTTTTTTAAAAGTAAAATAAAATGAGCGTCCAAAATGGTCTGGACAGGCTCAAATGATGGACTGAAACAAATCAGGTGAGACTCCCTGCCCCCACCTGGAGATACCAACCTAGGCTCTATGAGGAAAGGCTCCAGCTGGGTATCACCTGGTCAGAAGCCTCCGTGGTCATGAAGAGGCTCGGCAAACGGAGGCGACAGCCTCCAAATTAAAAGATAGGGACGGGCTTCCCTGGTGGCACAGTGGTTAAGAATCCGCCTGCCAATGCAGGGGACACGGGTTCGAGCCCTGGCCCGGGAAGATCCCACATGCCGCAGAGCAACTAAGCCCATGCGCCACAACTACTGATCCCGCGAGCCACAACTACTGAGCCCGCGTGCCACAACTACTGAAGCCCACGCGCCTAGAGCCTGTGCTCTGCAACAAGGGAAGTCACAACAATGAGAAGTCCACGCACTGCAACGAGGAGTAGCCCCCACTCGCCACAACTAGAGAAAGCCCGCGCACAGCAGTGAAGACCCAACACAGCCAAAAATAAAAATAAATAAATTTATAAAGAAAAAAGAAACATTAAGAAAACCAGATGTAATGTGTGGACCTCATTCGAATTCTAATTTAAACATACCAACTCTTACCGGAAAAAAAAAAGGACACTGAGGGAAATTTGAACACTAGATTTTAGATAATAATAAAGAATCCTTCTTTCGTCTGTGTGTGATAAAAAGTATTGTCATTATGTTAAAAGAAAAAAAAAGAGTCCTTATAACTTAGAAACACATACTCAAGTATTTTAGACTGAAATGATATAATATCTGGGAGTTCCTTTAAAATAAATAAGCTGATGGCAGGGGTGCATAGAGGGCATTATAGATGAAACGAGATTGGCCATGTATTGATCATTGCTTAAATTGATGTTGGGTCCATGAGGTTCATTATACTACCTACCTTCATGTATGTTTGGAAATTCCCATGATGAGAAGTTTAAAAAGAAAAACAAGGAAGAAATAAAATTTTAAACTAGTGAAATATTAATCTAAAAACCCAAGTAGCTTCAAAGGAATCTTTTCTTTGCACAAAGCCACCATCAAAGAAACCAACAAAACTCGGATTAAACTGCTCACCCTTTCTTCAGGCTTCTAGGGGGCAGAACTGGTACTGAAACAGAGCAGGACCCTATGGTCCTTGCTCCCCTCCCGCTGTGCCCTCAGCCTGCCATCTGTCTGTGGAAAAACTTCAGCCAAAGAATAAGTTTAATCAGAGAAGTGAGAAAATACAGAAACAAAGGAAAACAGTCAAAGGAGACCAAATAATAATAGTTTAGTCATTAAGCAAAGTCAAAGACCTTTAGTTCCTCCTCAAGGGCTGTAGATAATATTCTGAGCCGTAGCCTGTGAGCTGTCTTGTAGGTACTGAAACCCCCAGCAGATGGAAGAAGTTAACGACATGATGACCAGACTGTAGCCATGACATAAGCTGCTGCAATTCTGAGAATTGGTCTCAAGGAAATGGGAGCAAACCGACCCCGGAACTGAAGATGAATTGTACTCAAAACAGTCAAGATGATGCCGGTCAGACCACTGATGGCCAATACCAAGGTGACTGTCAGAGGTGACTGTGCTGTTTCTGCATGTAGCGCCCTCCCTCCGTCTATAAAAACTCTTGCCCACTGATTGTCCAGTTGTGCTGGGGAGTTGGCCTTTGGACAGGCGTCTGCCCTCCCCGCCCGCCCCCCTGGTTGCCGGCATTCAAAATAAAGCAAACTTTCCTTTCCAGCAACCCGGCCTCTTTAATGGTTTTTGAGCGGCGAGCAGCCGGACCCCACCTTCAGTTACAGTACTAGTGGGTGGATTGGTAAGGAAATAGGCAGCATTCCGCTCATGATACAAAGGTACTTTATACCGAGGTAAATGGGCAGCCTTCAGCCTTTGCTGAGGGAATCCACATATTTGGGAAGGAGAAGAGGCAACAGTGGCCACCTGTGTCCGTTCCATCTGTGAGGTTCTAGGGTTGGGTGAGTTACCTTGCCCATGAGCAATCACTGCTGTAGTGAAGAGGGATCAGACTCTTTCTGGGGTCCTGCTCGGGTAGGTATCGGAGGTCTCCTCTTCCTAACCTCCTAAGAGCGTCTGCTGTTGAGTTTTGAGGAACGCACCCTGGCCTCACCTCCTCTAATCCTTTTTGTAAGGTCATGGAAGAGATTGCCTCCCAGGAGAAAAATATCACAGTTCTTGAAAAAGCCATCCTTGACCAAGAAGGACCTGCCAAGGTGGCTCATACACGTCTGGAGACCAGGACACATCGGCCTAATGTGGAGCTGTGTCACGATGGTGCACAGTACAGGCTGATCAAGGAAGTCGATGAGATCACCCACAACATCGCAAGGTAGGCACAGGGCTACTGGGGCTCCATTTAAACCTGGCCTGTGAGCAGGGTTAGGCAATGTCATCGTGGGTGATGCCGGGCGGGCCTAAAGACCTTTGCATCTTTCGCGTTTGAGGGGTTCTTTTCTAGAGGGCAGTCTCTCCTAACTCCCACCAGTTGCTGCCATGCAGGGAATGCATCCCAATGTTTACATTTTTCTGAAGTCCAACTCCAGATGTTTAGGTAAAATCTACAGTTTTAAATGTTGGCAGTTCATGGGTTTATCTGCCTTGTGAACATGGCCCAGGGCCGCCAATTTGAAATCTCTGTCTTAAGGAGGAGAAAGGAGGAAGACACATCAATTTGGATCCTGCGCTGAATATATGAATACATTTTTCCCCCTGAAATAGTGATGTAGAGCCATAAGTTATTCCCTAGTGTTCTTCCTCTTCTCCTAGATTAAAGGAAACATTAGCCCAAGCTCAAGTAGAGCTGCAAGGCCTGAATGGCAGGCAGCTCGCCCTGCAGGAGGAGATCCAAGTCAAGGAGAATACCATCTACATCGATGAAGTGCTGTGTATGCGTATGAGGAAGTCCATCCCTCCAAGGGGCGGGGATGACCACGGGAAGTGGGCCGGGGGCCTCCATCCGGACACTGTCTGCTGAAAGTCGGATTCTCATTAAGCCATTCTCATTAAACAGAGTCATAAAACCGTAGAACAGAACTCTCATTTCAGGTGGGCAGAACTTCCAGTCAGCCCACCAGAAAGTCTTGGCTGGGGTTCCAGGCCTGCTCGGGGCCTGAGATTTGGGTGCAAAGCTCTATTCTGCTACTGCTAGTGGTGCTGTGGTTGTTTAAGGGTTAAGTTCCATGAGTTAGCACAGGCCATTCTTATCACAGGGCTTCAGGCCTGGGGGAGGGGTCCAAGACATTTTAGTTCAGATTTATTTCAATTCAGAAGTTGGGCTGGATCCCCTACTCAGACCATGCCCATCTTACTCAGGAGAGGACCGGCGAACACTTCTCCTGGCCCTCAAGATTCCTTTTCCCTAGAAAACAATGTGGTGGTTGCTGACTTAGACCCCTGGCTGGTCCACGGGATGCATGTTCAGTTCATACGGAGCTTAGATGAGAGAGGAGCAGCCCTGGGTCAGGAGTCCCCCGCCCCCACCCCGTAAGCCTTCCCAACACCTGTGGGCGTCTCTCTGGGCCTCTTTCTCTGGGGTGAAATTGAGACAGGCTGGGACCTGAGACCCTCTAGTGGAGTGATTGCACCTGAGCAAACATCTCCCCGAGCAACAGAATACAAAGAAACTATAAGGGACTAAAAATAACTATGCACAAAAAGGCCACAAACCAACTGCTATTTCTGAGGTGCCGGGAACAAAAACAGGGTACTGAGCATGATCCCTGCTCAGGGCACCACCAAGGGGGCTGGGCAGACCACCTAAGCCAGCCGTCTGTCCCACCCCCGTTGTTACCCATTTAAGGAAGCAGCTTGAGCCCCCTCGGGGAGAGCAAAGGCACTTGTTACTTGCTTTCACTCCCTCGTGCTGCAGCGCTAATCCCAGTAAAGCCTCGCCTGAATCTCTTATCTGGCTTCTTCTTGATTTCTGTTGATTAAAGAGTCCAAGAACCTGTGTGGGTAACAAAAGGAAAGAGGAGGGATAGGACCCAAGGGCCCTCCAGCTCTTAGGAAGTTAGGGATTGGGGAGCGGGTGAGCCAGGTTGCTGTTTTCTGGGGTCATGGTTACTGACTCGGGGCCCTGGACTCTTTAATCACTAGAAGTCGATAAAAGGCCAGACGAGAAATTCAGGCAAGGCTTTATCGGGCCTCATGCTGCAGCACAAGGGAGCGAAAACAAGTCACAGGTGCCCTTGCTTGAGGGGGGGCGGGCATTCAGATCCATTCAGACCTTAGTCTCGGGATTGCCAGCCTGGGAAAGAGGAAGGCGAGGTTCCTGGGCTCAGTAGGTAAGCCTTTCCAGTGGGCCGTCCTGTTGCACCACCGCGTGAAAAGGATTTCTGGCTTTTGTTTTCTTTGCTGAATGTAAACCATTTGGCGTCGGTTTTCTGACCAGTTAGTAATCATTCGTAGTGGTTTTTTTAATACTCAAGTGACAGTAACAGAAAAGAAAAAAGAATTCCTCCCGTTCTCGCCACAGATTCAAGTCAGTGGCTAAGAGTGTGGGTTCTGGAGTCACACATAGCTCAGTTCAAGTTCTCCAGTCACACCCGCCGCCTAGGGCGCCTGTGGGTGAGATAACCCACGAGAAGCGCTTCACAGCTTCACACAGAGCCCATCCGGGGGTGGGGGGCAGCAAGCAGAGAAGGGACAGAGTCCAGACAGTCTAGGGGTTCCGGGGCTTGGGGACTGCTCGGATATACAGGGTGAGGGAGGGAGAGGGGCCAAGGACGGCTCCCTGGTTTCTGGCTTGGGTATCAGAGTGAATCGGGGCGTTTTGTTTGCTGAGAGGGAACTTGGGAGGCAGAGGGCTGGGCAGTGAGGGTGGGGGTCGGGGAATGAAGGTGATGAGCTCACACGTTGAGGGCGAGGACCCTGTGATGGGGAGGAAGGTCCAGCTGCAGCCAGAGGGCTGGGAGACATTTGCAGACAGGCGGCATTAGAAGCCAAGCAACGCGTGAGAGTTTGAAGAGCTCGGAGGAGGGGTCTGGGCCTGAGCCCCGCAAGACACCAGTACTTCCCGGTTGAGTGAAGAACCGGACCAACAAGCAGGCTAAGAAAGAACCTCCGAGGGGCTGAAGGAAGCCAGAAAAGCGTAGCATCACAGGTGCCACAGTAGGAGAATGTTTGGAGGCACCGTAGGCCAAGAAAGGAAAACATCCTCTAGATCTGGCAGCTGGGCAATCGCCAATGACACTTTGCCAAAGGCAATTTCAATAGAGTATTGGAGGAAGTCAAGAAGTGCAAATGCTGATTTTTGAAAGATGCTTATCTTATCTCAGGATGTCTTTGGAAAGAAAATTGGTAACCTCTGCTCTCTGCTGGTACGCATTCTGCCCCAAGGACCAAGAAGCCGAGAGGTGGGAGCAAAAATAGGGAAACATTTCCTTTTTTATCACACATGAGCCGGCAGTAAGAGGCCATGTTAATTTCTCTCAACTTGGCCTGTGTCCTTGAAAAATCAGCGTGTCTTGGAAGTCGTAAACATTGAAGCTGTGAGTGCAGACGTTGAAAATATCTAGTCCAACTCAATCATTGTACATTTGGGAAAACTGAAGCCCAGAAAGGAAGTAGCAGAGCGCTAGACTCAGCTGTCCTGCAACATTCACACCTATTGTTGTGTTTACCTTTACACATGAATTACGTAATGAAGTTATCACAGAGAACCAGATGCTGGCTTGGTTTGAGCCTCGTTGAAGAATTGTGGCCCTTGGTATGTTCTGGAAGTCCTGGAAGAAGACAATTTCTTTATGAACTATTTCCCATTGCATTCCTTAGGTCATAATTGGCACTTAAGTGGACGATCTCAATTAGGTAGGAAGACTCTTTAATGGGGGGAGTTAGCATCCCTCAAATTTGAGACAGTTAAAATTAAGGAAAGGATGCCTTTATGTTAACAGAGATTAACCTGTCAGTAAGACAAAACAAAGAGCGCCTGTTTCTCAAGCTGGTACGCACCCTGTTCTCTCACAATCTCCTGATACCACAGGAAAATCCTTAGTATTTGAGCCCTTGAGGTCTATTCGTGGATAAGTGTCATCTGTGAGCAGCATGGAGTGAAATGTGCTGGGTCCCTGAGGGCTGAGTCTTTGGCAGGAGTTGATCACTCTAAGGATCTGCTTACATTTCTCAGACCCTTCTGGGGACGTCTCAGAAGTTTAGCTACTGGGTGGTGAGTTCCAGAAAAAGAGAACGTGTGAATGGACAGAATGTCATGGGATCCCTGTGGTCTTTCAGCCCAACTCCCCAGTTTTATAGATGAGGAAACAGGTTCACAGGGAACTGGGGGAAAGCAAGCTACTTGCCCAAGGTCCCTGTAAAGGTTCAGGCAAGGCTGAACTCCTGGCCCCAAACTCGGGGCTCTTCTCACTATGGCCTGAACTAACTCCCCAGCTCCCAAAACCTTCTTCTCTGAGAACTGCACGCCAACATACACAGGGAGGGCTCCACAACCATGTCCATATGATAGATATACCCTGCCCTCCCCGGCCAAACTGCTCAGCAACCCATCAGGGCTGGTCAGATTCGGCCTCCTGGGAATCGGGATTTTGAAACAGAAACGTATAGAGGCAGGAAATAACTAGAGGATCTAGAGATCTAGAGAGGAGGGTCACTAACTCCTGTGGCCGCATCCCCAGATGCTCCCCTGGGTCCTCTCAAGCAAAGAGTTGAACAACCAACTCTTTCTATGAGATGCCCCAATATAGTCCCACTCTTGGCTTTAGCTCTCAGAAGTTTTTTGCTAAGTTTGCTCAGTTAAGAACCTTAACTAATATTCCTTGAAGGAGGGCTTCCCAGGTGGCACAGTGGTTGAGAGTCCGCCTGCCAATGCAGGGGACACGGGTTCGTGCCCTGGTCCGGGATGATCCCACATGCTGCGGAGCAACTAAGCCTGTGCGCCACAACTACTGAGCCTGCGCTCTAGAGCCAGTTTGCGACTAGAGAAAAAGTAGAAGCTGATGCACCAAGAGAGAAGAAAGTGCTTCCTGCAGCCCTGCTTCTCTGGGCTCCAGGCAATTTCTGAGGCCCTCAGGTTCTATGAGACACTCAAGCATCCTTACACTGCTCAATGATGCCCAGTGGTTTTTCTGTGGCTGCCACCCAGGAGAGCTGGAACTCTCACAGGCCATGCCACTCAGCTGGACAAGTGGGCGGAGAAGGCTGGGTAATTAAGGGAGTTACCCTTGAGTGGGATCTTGATGAAGGAATAGATGTTTGCTGGGCGGAAAGGTGGGGCAGGGGTGGATTCCAGGCAGTGGCACAGCACACACAAACGCAAGGGATCTCAGAGCTGAATATATTTCCCGAGGAATTGTGTGTAGGTCTCTATAAAGGATGCTACGATCGCAAAACCAAAAGGACTTATTATATAGCCTTGCAAGACAGGTATACCATTGGTAATGCCAACAATTATGACAACTGTTAACGTGTTGAGTGCTTATAATGAGTTACTTATGCAAACTGTTACTATCCTCAATTTATAGGTGGGGAAACTGAGGCTTGGAGGCGGTCACACAGAATTCACACCCAAGCAGGTTAACTCTAGCACACGCGCTCCTGAAACAATTATGCCCCATCATTTAGTAGCAAGGAGAGATTTTTTAGATGGAAAAACCTGGGCACAGACTTAATAACTTGTTCAGAGTGATTCAGTCCCAGATTTAGAGACTGAGCTCAAGTTTCCCAAATCAGACCTGAGAGATCAATACCTTAATTGATCTTGGGAAGTCTGTTTCCTGTGATGACCTAAACTCTACTCTTTGCCTCTAAGTTTGGAAGGGGGTTGGTGACCTCAGGTCCAAGGTGAATAATGCCCAAAGTGGTCTTCCGTGTTGAGGAACCACAGCCAGGGACTCAGTTTCCCAAATGTGGAAGAGCTAGGGAAATCATGAAATCAATCATTGCCTTCTAGATCTCCTAACCACCTGCATCTGAGAATACTTGTTGAACCTGATTTAGACTTTGGGGATACATCCTGTCAGTAAAGGGCTGGGGCCCCTGTACAGCCCCTGGACTTCGTGCTCCAAGATGATCAGCTACACACAGTGCCCCGAGGCGGGGCACACAGGCTGCCTAACCCAACAGCCGTGCCCAGCCCCCAGCCTCTCCCTCACTCTCCTCCCTTACAGAGGATCCATGAACTACGTTTCCAGCCTCCCTTGCAGCTGGCGGGGGTGGCTTTGTGACTCAGTTCTGGCCGCAGAGGCAAAAGCAGAAATCGGCCAGGGGCATCCAGCAGGAAATTCCACCACTGGTGCTGTCCCTTCCTCCCCTCCTCCCTGCCAGGGCAATGGCTGAGGTGTTTCAAACAGCCCCTGGATACCATGGGGAAAGACCAAGAAGGGCACATAGATAACTAGTCCCAACGCTGGGGAGCCCCAAAGCAAAAGCAGCAGCCGGTTAACTCTAAACTAGTGAGAAAAATAAGCCCTTATTTGTTCAAACCATTGTTGGATGCACTGTCGCTTAGACCAGAATGTAGCCTGACTGATAACCCCGTCTCAGAGCTAGAGTGTGGACCCAGAGACCTGTCAGCTAGTACAGGGTTTTAGTTTCTGTTTCTGTCTCTCTCTCTCTCTGTCTCTCTCAACTGTCAGCCCCAGAAAACAGTGCCCCTTGTCTATACCAGCAGGGTGGGTTGAGGAAAGATCTGCTCCCTCCCCTTCTGTAGTGGAAGAGAGAGGCAGGAGACAGGCACTCGTTATTATTAGCCTGTCATATATCAATAAAAGGGCTATAGATAACCCCTGTGTTGTGCGTTGACCCCTATGGTGTTTACTTCATAGCAGGCTGGGATCCATTAGCTCAAAAGCCCCCCCTCGGGGGGCCAAACTCAAATTTGTACACATCCAGTTGCTTTAAATATAGCCCCAATAAGCATATTTTCAGCACCTGCCCGCTTTACACACCCTGCAAAACTTCACCCAACATCTGCTGGCCATAGATAAGACAAACCCCAGAGCTATAAAAGACCCCAAGCCACTGCTGCCCTTTGGAGCTGTCTGACCCAGAGACCTACCTAGACACAAAAACCCCCTCTTGGAGTCCCTTCTCCCCCGGGAGGTCCCTTGCCCTCTTCCCTTCCAGGGGGTGGCCCAGCACTGCTATCCCTAGAACATCTCCCGCTATGGGGGACTTCCCGTGACCGCAGTCCTGTCCCAGAGCCACGCTCACACAGCTCCTTGTGTGCCACTACCATCTAGTGGTCATGAGTTTTTTTTGTTTTGTTTTGTTTTGCTTGATCAGTCCCAAATATTTGAACTTACCACCACTTCTCACTAGGACTCCACGCGATGAGGGGCGGGGAGGAATAATTCCCCAGTAGAAAATCTGGATGCTATTAGGAAGGAGTGGAGAGAGGAGGCATTCGAAAACATGACAGACCCACTACAGGAAGTATCGTCAAAGATGTAGGAGGCTCTCAGCACCAGGAGAAGACCGGTACCCAGAGGCAACTGGAACACTTTTGACAGAGATTAACAGTGAATACTAGATGCTGCCAGGAAAGGGGCAACGGAGGTGCTTCCTGATTCAGGCTTTTTTTTTTTTTTTTTTCGGTACGCGGGCCTCTCACTGACGTGGCCTCTCCCGTTGCGGAGCACAGACTCCGGACGCGCAGGCTCAGCGGCCATGGTTCACGGGCCCAGCCGCTCCGCGGCACGTGGGATCTTCCCGGACCAGGGCACGAACCCGCGTCCCCTGCATCGGCAGGCGGACTCTCAACCACTGCGCCACCAGGGAAGCCCCCAGGCTTTCTTGCTTTAGAAATATTCAGAAAAGAAATTGACCAA